ATCGATAAGGAGCCTTTATTTAAAAATGTGTACCTTTTGAAAGCTTCATTGACAGCTTTTTATTTAAAAAAAAAAAAAAAAGGTTTTCAGTATGTACAGTATTTTCTTTATGTACTATATGTTGGATCATCAGCTTGTTTTGGTGTGGTGTGCTGCTGTATTTTCTGTTCTCCATAACTTGTTGAAATGTTATTTAAAAAGCAGAAGAGAGACAGCCAAACACATTTTCATGGGCCAAAGAGAGCACACTGGCCAGAACAGATCATGTTAACTGTGAAGTAAAACTTGCAAAACCTGGGAACTGAGAAAATAGTCTGCTTCTCTGAAACTCTGGAAAACAGAAGCTGCAAATACTTAAATATATATATATATATATATATATATATATATATATATATATATATATATATATATATATATATATATATATATATATATATATATATATATATATATATATATATATATATATATATATATATATATATATATATATATATATATATATATATATATATATATATATATATATATATATATATATATATATATATATATATATATATATATATATATACAGTTGAAGTCAGAATTATTATTTTCCAAATGATGTTTAACAGGGAAAGTACGTTTTTAGAGTATGTCTGATAATTATTTTTTCTTCTGGAGAAAGACTTATTTGTTTTATTTAATCTAGAATAAAAGCAGCTTTTAATTAAAAAAAAACTATTTTAAGGTCAAAATTATTAGCCCCTTCAAGCTATTTTTGATAGTCTACCAAACAAACCATCATTATACATAACTTGCCTTTATACTATAAGCATATCTTTTTTGAGAGAGAGAGAGAGAGAGAGAGAGAGAGAGAGAGAGAGAGAGAATCATTAATCTATGATGAACAATGCATGTATAATAATTTACCAAATTTACAGATATCCCTATATAACTGTAGTTAGGTCCGCAAATATTTGGACATCGACTCAATTCTAACTTTTTTCCCTCTATACACCAACACAATGGATTTGAAATAAAACTAACAAGATGTGCTTTAACAGCAGACTGTCAGCTTTAATTTGATTTAATTTGTATTTATTCAGTTTAAGAATTACAACAGTTTACATATGTGCCTCCCACTTGTTAAGGGTCCAAAAGTTATTGGACAGAATAATACTCATAAATCAAACTTTCTGTGACAGTGAAGTCATGCTGACAACAGGGAGTTAAGGATCCAAACACAGGTTTATTTAGTAGAGAGGTCAGGTATGCATTGGTCAACACAGCAAACAGATGTATGCAGGCCACCCAGAGTCATAGTCAGATACACAGGCAGATGGTCAGAAGATAGGCAGCAGACAGGGATAACCAGATAAACAAGGCAAGGATCAAAACACAGCAAAGCAAGACAAAGGAAATGCGTTGTGATGTCACTAAATATTAAACAAGACTCTGCAGTGAGTGTCTCAAAGTGAACCATATATATATGTGTGTGTAATCAGTACTTGAGCAGCATTAGCTGTGTGTATGCAATCAGTCAGGATCAGGAACCGGTTGTGTATGTTTGGTGCATGACTCCATTATCAGAAGATTTGTAGACCTATGTGATCTGTGTGTTTACCAGTGATCTGCAGCCGCTAGGTCGCTGATAATCATAACACTTTCACTTTCTAATACTTGGTTGTAAATCCTTTGCAGTCAATTACAGCCTGAAGTCTGGAATGCAAAGACATCACCAGACGCTGAGTTTCATTCCTGGTGGTGCTCTACCAGGCCACAATAGCAACTGTCTTCAGTTCCTGCAAGTTCTTGGAGCATTTCCCGTCAGTTTTGTCTTCAGCAAGTGAAATGCAGGCTCAATCGGATTTAGATCAGGTGATTGACTTGATTTGAATGTAAATACCCTCAAATTGACGCTGACAGTCTACAGTTAAAGCACATCTTGTTTGTTTCATTTAAAATCCATTGTGTTTGTGTAAGAGACAAAAATGCTAGAATTGTGTTGATTTCCAAATATTTATGCTATTAACTGTATTCATTCATTAATTTTCTTTTCGTCTTAATCCCTTTATTAATCTGCCAACTTATCCAGCATATGTTTTACGCAGCGGATACCCTTGCAGCTGCAAACTATTACTGGGAAACATCTATACATACTCATTCACACACATACACTATGGACAATTTTAGCTTACCCAATTCACCTGCACCACATGTTAGGGAAAATCTGAAAATCATTTAAGAAATTGACTGAAAATCATTCAAAAAATGTTAAATGGCAATAAAAAAATACAGAAAAAGTTAATCTGATATGAACCAGGAGACAATTCCATAATTAAAATAAATAAATACATAAATCTTCACATAGAAGGTTTTCACTTCTGTAAACCAGAGTCTGAGTGATCTATAAGAGGAGAATCTTGTTAAAATATTATAACATTGTACTTCTGTGCCAATTCCAAGAGAAACCGATCTTTGACTCATGTCAAGGTAAATGCAGTTATATGAACCTATACGGAAGTCCCCTTTATAAGAATGAGTCACAGTCATGGGTAAAACCAGACACACCAACACAAACAAGAAAAGAAAAAAAAAACTGCAGCAAAATGATTTATACATTTACATATACTGTAAGCACTGCATGTGTTTACTCATTCACAAAAACACACTGTGTACAGTATAAATAGAAGAGCGTACATTACTTATTGACCTCTAATACATTTACAGTGGGAGGTAATTTATACAACCATTCATTGTGGGTGTGTGGTATGATTAAAATAGGGTATGGTTCTCATTGTACTTAAATGCATTTAAAAAAATGAGGTTGTACGTGATGTTCTTAGTTGTGGGTGGTAAAGAATCCCACCATCATATCTGGTAAGCTGCTGTCTCCCCCTGCTCATACAGGAAGTGTGTTTGTGTGTTTTTGCTCTTGTGGGCTTAATGTTGTACTCTGCATAGACTCACTTTATTTCATAATGAAAAATGCTTTTGAAGGCAACATGATTTCATTTTTCTTATTTATATTAATGTTGAAAAGATCTCCAGACACGAACATGCCCATTTTTGTTTGCCCATCTTTTAAAAAGACTACATTAAAATGAAATAAAAAAATCATGATATGTAAAATGATATGTACAATAAAAAACTTTCAGCCAACTTTTGACTTGTTACAGCTATTTTTTTGTTTGTTTTTCTCAAAGTATGGTTTAACTTTGGCTCAAACAATAAAATTTCATTTAACTTAATCTAAATCAAAAATATTTATTGTGGTCAATGAAAAAATGACAATCACACATGTTTTAAGTTCACCTGGGGGCTTATTTATATTTTTAAGGCAATTTGAATTAAAAAGATTATAATCAGAAACCATAATTTTTCACTTAACCTAATATAAAAATGTACTTTGAATGAAAAACACAATAGTTTCTCTTTTTTCAGTGTAACAACTGAACTACCAGTTAGTAATCATCCACTGTAAAACCCAATAAGTTAAGGTAACTCTAACCATTTGAGGAAACCGATTGCAACAAATCATTCAAGTAAAAAAAAAAAAAAAAGTATCGTAATGAGTACTGTGAACTTACTCCATTAAAGTACACAAAACAATTTGAGCACATCAAAACCCAATAAATAAAGAGAACTCAAACCAATTAAGTACTTTAAAACCCAATGAGTTAAGAGAACTCAAACCAAATGAGAACTGTACAACCCAATAAGTGAAGGCAATTCAAATCATTAAAAAAAACAAACAAAAAAAAAACGATTGCAACAAACTGTTTAAGTTTCTTAAACTAATCTATTAGTAATGTAAAATATGAATACTGGTGACTTACTCCATTTAAGTTGAAGTAATGATATATTTAAGTGATTAAGTAAGTGTTGATTGAGCATTAATGATGAACACCTGCTGTTAACAAGCAGAATTACTGAAGAGAAACACAAAACTACAGCGACCTCAGTCACATCATTGAAAGAAATAAAACATGTTAAATTCTATATAATCTTAGCAGAGGATCATTAAACAACTCCACAAACAGTATCAACAGCTTCACAGAGTAACACTGAGCTCAAAACTGTTTTCATATGAGTAGAATTAACTTTGAAGTAAATCTTGAGTTAACTACACTAATTTCATTTGATAAATTTGACCGTTGGGTTTTACAGTATCCGAATGGACTTTTGCAAGTATTGCAAAAATAATATTTTATGATAATGACTCTTCAACATAAAGGTGTGATCATGTAAACAAAAAAGAACATTTTCTAGTTTTGATTTTCATGATATGTATAAAGAACAACTCTGAAATTTACATGACTTGAATATGTGCAAAATCCGTTTAACTGATTTTCCTCCCAAAATGGCATAATCACAATCAGTCAACTGTTCACACAAAGGACTTTACCCATAAAAAAAAAAAACTACTGACATGTAACAATCACTCTTATTCTCATTTAAGTCCACACCACAGTTGTAACAATAACAATATAAAGCAGGGTCACACTTTATTTTAATGGTGCGTTAGTTACATTGCATCTACATGTCAACTAATTTTCTTTAGATTATAAGTAAACTGTTAGTTTGGGGTTTGGGTTTGTGTAAGTTGACATGTACTTGCAAAGTTGCTTATAGTTAGTTAAATGTCTGTTGAAGAAGCAGTGTCAACAGATATTAAGCAGACAGTCGACTGATACCATCAAAATAAAGTGTTACCTAAAGCAGTTGTTTTTTCTGCTGATAAGAGTTTTGGTCTCTGCAGAAACTGGACTTTAAATTAAAGTCTTCTAAGCTCTGCTCACACTTTGAGATGATTGACTTAGGCTATTAGTTGTTCCTCTGAAACAAAATTTTGGAAATCCTAAAATATGACAGTTCATAACAGAACTCAAATGTTTGACACAAAAATTCTGTTGTCTGAATGAAAGACTATTTCATCTGTCTAAAAGTAGATACAAAGTTCTGTCAAAGGCTTATTTTTAAGAGAAAATAAAACATTTGTTTCCAAACTGTTGTTTCCCAACTGCTGTTTATAAGATATATTTTGTGTACAGAATTTCATTTTAAGATTTCTCTAAAGGAAAATATAATAGGAAATACTGTAGAAAACTGCCCTTGCTCTGTAAAACATCCCTTAAGAAATGATTATAATTTTTTCTTGTAAAACTGTATACTCAACTGCAACAGCTTTAGGCTTGTGAATAAAAGTACATATCTTATTATCGGCCAGTTTTGTTAGCAATGTGATATAAAAGACATTAGAATGTTCTCAATTTTGAATATTTGTCTAGGCATGAACAGGCCTTATTCAGCGTCTGTTATATGAACCAATAACACATGAAAAGATAAGAAATCGATCCTAATGTTTAATAAAACAAAGTTACATTTATGGTGATCCATTGTGCAAGCCATTGTTTTTTACTAAGCAATTTATTACTTTATTACACAATTTTCCATAATATTGTTGTTAAAGATGTTCATACTGTATGTATTTTAGTAAGGCATATGAGAGAGCTTGAATTATTATTGCAAACGTGAGAATATTTTTTTGTTAATGCATGCCAGTCCTTTAATATAACAGCAATCAACGGCTGTCATATGATCTAAAATGAAAAAGGTGGCCAAAACACTTACTAAACACCTTGCTCCTTGAGTGTTTAAATTATAATAGCAACGTTTAAAATAATAAGTGAATGACCTCATTTCCCAACTGGTCATTTCTCAATAGTCTTTTTTCAAAGTGTCTAAGTAAACAATCCTTAAAATCACCGGAATCGGACTGCAGCATATTCTGAAAGTTCTGGTTCTTGCCTTGCAGTTTTTCTATGCACTTTCGGCACAGCCTGGTGATTCAAAGAGGCATAGACCAGAGCATTATCATCTTCTCCTCTTCCTGCGCTGACAGTGTGATGGCTTCTCTCTTTGACTCTTCCAGCTGATGATGTTCCTCTGCCCGGTGGAATTTCAGAGCCACGATCTAAAGCAGACCCTCTCTGCTGTGAAAGAGAGCGGGTGTCGTGACGGGGATGAGGAAGAGGAGGAGGAAGCAGGTCACTACTTTGAGTTTCCATGTACTGAAGATGTGAAAAAAAGAGCTATTTAAAAAGAATGATCAGTGGATACAAAGGGGAAAAAGTTAAGACAAAATTAAGACAAAGGATACCTGATTTTTATTTGTCAGTTCTTCTGTTTTGGATTTTGTGTCTATGGAAAAATTCAGTTTTGTGAAAAAGACACAAAAACTAATGAAATAATTTTATTGTAGCATAAAGTTTAGATTTCATTGCATGTTCCAGCCCACTCACCTTGGCAATTGAAGACAAATAATGTTATGGTTATAATGATGATCACCAGCGCCGCTATTCCACTGCAGATGTACACATATGGCCACAACCACTTCAGACCATTGTCTGGAACTGAATTAAAATCATCTGTTATAGTAGACATTAAACAATCAGAACACCAATATCTGCTGTATATATTAGGCCTCCACTTTAATTTAATATTTTATATATTTTTTATATTATATTTTTTATATTTCTAACTTCATAAAAAGATGAACATTTCGTGCCAGGTTAAAATCTTGCACTTACTTTTGTTACTTTGATTGTGTGAAAATTCATCTTCACCATTTCCTGAAAATGCAGTAGAATATTGTAGTACATTTAATATTTTTATTCAATGAAATGTGTAAATATTTACATTTTACTAACCTGTAATGGTAACATTAATAGCATGGCTTACAGACGTGTCACCATGTGTACATCTGTATGAACCTGAATTCTCCATTGTGATGTTCTGGAAAATCAGGAAAGCCATCCCTTCATGCTGTGCTGTATTTCTACACTCCATCTTTATAAGGTCTGAGTGATTTAAAGCTTTACAGTGATCTCCATAGATTTTGCACCATGAGATTATTGGGTTCCACTGACATCCATTATGAGTTACAGTACAGTTTATCTTTAGCTGTGTCATAATACGAGCTTTAAAGATTGTTTGTCGTGGCACTTTCAGCTTTACATCACAGTGCGGCTCAGTCCCTGAAAGAAAATAAAGAAAACTACATCAGCATTAACATGCGCCACTTTAAAGACACAATACATGCAATTTTCATATCCAACATTTTCATATTACAGTTTATAGTCTTAATTAGACTAAAATAATGTTAACTTGTGTAGATAGTACAATGTTAACAATTACATGATCAAAAAGCCATGACAACAAATGTAATTTATTTTAATAAGATGATTTTTATTTTTTTTTATAGATTTCAATTTATTTTCTGAAGTTATGCTTATTTTAGCTTGATGTTTTTCAGAGTATTAGAGCAAATTTATAGGCATTTCAGGTTTAAATGAATGTAAACTAAAGTTAAATACAAAAACGATACAAAAATAAAATCACATTGCTCTATAGACATATGTTAATGTATTATTTACTGTTGTAAGTAAATCTAATATTCTGTAAAAATGGGCACCCCCAATTATCTTAGGCCTAATGCTGTACATAAGTGCTATTTTCTAAGAATCAAGCACTCAAACAAACACACAAACACACACACACACACACACACACACACATATATATATATATATATATATATATATATATATATATATATATATATATATATATATATATATATATATATATATAGCAACGATATTTTTTAAAATCACATTATGGGTATATACGCACAACGGGATTTAAAAAAAATATCATTGCTTCTTTCCAATACTACTTTAAATAAAACCTTCCACATGAAATTCGGTCAAATGGTATACTTCTTTGCAACATATAAGCTAATAAAAAGACAAGACATCATTAAGAAAATTATAACTTAATAAAAAAGGTTCACAGGACAAAAAACTATTTGTCAGGTGAAAGGTTAAATATTTTAAGTGTTCACAAAACCATACGCATACCACAAGTGTTGCCATTCATAGACCACAGTGTTCCATCACATTAGTCAATATATTATTGACAGACATTATTCTGTAACAGGGCATAGGAGAGCAGTATGAATACTTACCATTTGAGGTGCCGCTAACACTAAGCGATAGCAGTAGGAGAGAAACAGCAACATTACAGAAGATCTGGAAGAAAAAACTCATGATTGAAAGTTTTACCAGACAATGTGTGCTTAAAAAGAGCTGCACTGTGTTTTGATGAGTGTGTGTATGGGAAGACCAAGAGTGAAATGGAAGTGTTCTGAAAGTTTAGGTTCCTCTGATGTATCTCACCATTTCTGTTTCTTCCATTTCTTTCTTGTCTTCTTATCTTCACCTTCTTGGATCATAGGTGCTCTTCATCTGTGTAGTTTCTCAGCATTTCTCTGTATTTTATAACTTTTAATATTCAGTGTCTTTGTGACTGTCTCTGTATCTCTTGGTTGTTCTTCTTGGTTTATCTTCTTACGTCACTGACTGTGTCAATCTCATCTAGTGTGTGTGTGTGGTATGTGCGCGTGCATGTGTGTTGTGGTTTTAGGTTGTTCGAAACTTGTCCAGGTTGGTTTAACCTTCATGTAAATGTTGCAGAGAAACAGACAACATACAGAAAGACACTGAGCTCAAATGAACTCAATGGCACCTCTTTGTGGAAAATGATTGAATGCAATCACAAACGCAATCTACTTCTTGTCTTTCTGTCCTGCTCATGAGTTGTTAATATATGTATAAACTTTTGTTAGCATTCCAGATTCCCTATTTATTTTAATGATGCTATTTTAGTGAACTTTTCAAAGAGTTTGAAAATATAATTAATCAGTAATTAATTTTAATTTAAAGTACACTGACATTGACAAGTAAAATATGTTTTGTTGTTTAAATTACTCACTCACTCACTCACTCACTCACTCACTCACTCACTCACTCACTTACTTACTTACTTACTTACTTACTTACTTACTTACTTACTTACTTTCAATGAAACTTACTTATTTCAACAGCAGCTGACAGCTTCTCTCTGCAACTCTCACTTGGTCGTCAATTGAAGCTAAGCAGGGCTGCACCTGGTCAGTACCTGCATGGTAAAGCTAGGTTGCTGTCGAAGTGGTGTTAGTTAGACCAGCAGGGGGTGCTCAATCTGCAGTCTGTGTGGGTCCTAATGCCCCAGTATATTAATGGGGAATCTATACTGCTCAGAGAGTGCTATCTTTCAGATGGTAATCCAAGGTCCTGACTCTCTGTGGTTGTTAAAAAAATTCCAGAATGCTCTTTGAGAAAGAGTAGGGGTTTAACCCTCGCATCCTGACCAAATTTGCCCACTGACCTCTGCACACTGGTGGTGGATAAAGAGATTCCCTACCAATAATGTGTAAAGTGCTTTGAGTGTCCAAAAAAGTGGTATATAAATATAAGGAATTATTATTATTATTATTATTATTATTGTTATTGTTAATATTATTAAGTAACCACACTATGTTGTGTTTTGTAACATCAAATTTTTCGTGAGGTAGGTTGTTTGCCCAATGCTCAACCCCCCACCTGAAGGAGCAGGACACACACATGCATTATGGACAATTTAACTTAATTCACCAATAGCGCATGTCTTTGGACTGTGGGCAAAACTGGAGCACCCAGAGGAAACCCATGTGAACACAGGGAGAACATGCGAACTCCACACAGAAATGCCAACTGACCAAGCCAGGGCTTACATCAGCGACCTTCTTGCTGTGAAGCAAATGTGCTACCCACTGTGCCACAGTGCTATGCCTTTTAACTAATAACATTCATTACTTTACAAGTTGTCACGTTCTGTGGATGAAAGTGCCAAATCCCTGGCTCAAGATGATAAACAGTTAAGATTTTTGTCGATTTTGTTTAAAATATGGATTTACATTTTAGTCATTATTATTATTTTTGTTGTTGTTGTCATTACTATTGTGTTCAAAATAGATGTCCACATTCATAATTAAATGTGAATGGCCATAAATGGAGAAATACGCTCTATTTGAAGCAACAAATAGAGCGTATCATGTTGATCCCTTGGTCTAGTTATAAAGCAGAAAATACCTTTCCTCCTGTTAAACAAAAGAAACTGGTCTCAGCTCCATAAGTGAGGTATTAGATGACTAGTTTGTCTTAGGATTTAATTTAGAATACAAATCATAATTTTGAAAGGACAGCTTGTTTTCAGCAGTTCAGCTTAATGAGGTTGTATTAAAGAGATAAAAGCCTCACATGGCATTATGCATTTTACGCCTTAATAATATCTGGATGTTATTATCAGGGCTGCTTTTAAATCATGTTTTTAAATCATCTTTTAAATCATTATACAGTCCATTGACAGTCTAAGATGAGATCACAAATGAGTATTTAGTAGGGTTTTACTAGGTAAACAGCATGAAATTAATTCAAACGTAATCCAGTGAAACATTTTTATTGGATAGCCTATTGTTCATTCATCTTTCCAGAGTTAATGCAAGTAGTGCAGAATTGTTTTTACAATGAGTAATAGTAGTAGTAGTAGTAGCAGTATACATTGCTACTACTACTTTGAATATTGCACATTGTACATAATGTTATGTAAAGGTTGTTACATTTATTTTGTCAGAAGAAACTATGTCTTAAACATCAAGTACATTTCTCCTGACTCACAGTTTCTCATAAGATCTCAGAACCAGTTGATTTATCATAATTCAGTTAAATGTTAATTTAATTTGGGAAATATCATCACAGTGTTCAGTGTTCAGTGTTTTTGATGGTATGTATTGATAGTGGGCCATGCAGTGGCGCAGTGGGTAGCACGCTTGCCTCACAGCAAGAAGGTCGCTGGTTCGATCCTCGGCTCAGTTGGCATTTCTGTGTGGAGTTTGCATGTTCTCCCTGCGTTCGCGTGGGTTTCCTCCTGGTACTCCGGTTTCCCCCAAAGTCCAAAGACATGGTGTACAGGTGAATTGGGTAGACTAAATTGTCCGTAGTGTATGAATGAGTTTGTGTGGATGTTTCCCAGAGATGGGTTGCAGCTGGAAGGGCATCCGCTGCGTAAAAACTTGCTGGATAAGTTGTCGGTTCATTCTGCTGTGACTACCCAGGATTAATAAAGGGACTAAGCCGACAAGAAAATGAATGAATGTATTGATAGTTGGTTTAAAACTTAATAATAAATACCAATAAATTTGTATAGGCTATAGATTTTTGCTATAGATGGTTTATCCAGATCTGGTTCTTGTATGTGACGACCAAGCTACTATTGTCACTGACTCGGTCCCAGTCATTCCCCTCGCTGGCCAACAGAGGTCTCCATCACCGAACTATTGAACACTACATCACCCACAAACCCATTCGGCCAGCTGATTACACTGCACCTGATACTCGTTACCCCAGCTCACACACACATAAAAGCAGCTCTCGTTCTCACTTCATTGCAAAGTCTTGTTCTGCCCTGCTGACATTACTGAGCGTTACTTATCCTTGCCTTAACTTCTGTTGCCAATCCGGATTGTTCTCGACCTTGTCTTGCCTGTCACCTGCCTTGTATGTCTGACTGTATTACCGATCTTGATTCTTGCTGCCTGACCCATGCCTGCTACTGTGATATACGAATGCCAGCCACCTGCCTATCGACCTTATAAGCCTGTGATTCATGTGAGTTCATACACCAATGTATACTGTGTGTTTATTATTAAACTGTTTAATAAACGTACTGCAAATGGGTCCCTCTGTGTCAGACTCCTTGTTACAACTATATAGATTAATGAATTGACGGATTTGTGTGGATTTTCCATTGGCAAAGAAGCTCCATGTGTTTGGTTAATTTCTGAGCGACAATTCTTAGTCCAAAAGCTGTTTTTTTTCCATGACTATCAGGATGATGGTGAGTCTTGTTTGTAAGTGTTGTTTGTGTTCATAGAACATGCAAATATTTTTGGTCTTCAAAGTTTATTCAGTGACCTGTTTGTGTCAAGATTATTCAAAAGAAATGCAAATCAATTTATTCTTCATGTTTTGCTTTAGTTTTAATAATGTAAGCCTTTCCTACATAGGTTTTTTTTTTATCCACAAACTGAAGCTGAATATTCATTGTTTTCTAGTTTACACTGTCTGATGTTTGAGAGCCTTGGTTTTTCTGTTTATATATGTATGTTATATATGGGAGACACCCTCATCATGTAACAGGCACACTCAATAAATAATCAGTATGTCTTTTTTTTTTATTTATTTTATTTTTTATTCTTTTTTTTTTTTTTTTTTGCTTTTAATACAGATCAACTGACAAAACCACTCATGCTGGACTTAATAACTTTAATCAGCTTTCTTTTTTTTGCTATTTTAATGTATGGTTTGAACTTCAGCAAACTTGGTTGCTGGCCTGGATTGGCTTTATTATTATTATTATTATTAGTAGTAGTAGTAGTAGTAGTAGTAGTAGTAGTAGAATTATTATTTGTTTTAAATATCTTTTGGTCCTGACTATTCTCCTTTTGATCTAAAACTGCATACTATCTCAGTCAGTACTCATTATATTTGGATTTGAACTTCACAAACCTTAAATCAAGTTCAACTCCGTATACAAATTGATAAATTAAATTCAGATGTCTACCATGTTGTCATTCTCCCATAGTTAACAGCATCGGTTCCTTCCATTAATCATTTTAGCCTCATATAGTCAAGTAATAAAAGGTACATCAAATGTGCTCTTTAGAATCTTGCCAAAAACTTCTTCCCGCCTACATTACAATGAATTTGTACATAGAGCATGACTCATGCACTGTATAATCCATCGGTTAAATTTATCAAATGAAAAGAGTGTAGTTAACTCTACTTGAAAAGAGTTTTGAACTCAGTATTGAAGGTAATAATTTAATTAAATATCTTAATACTTCAACTTAACTTAAGTAAGTTCACAGCACTTTTTAAAGTTTTTTTTTTTTAACTCAAATGGTTTGTAGCAATCGATTTCCCTAAACGCTCTACTCTAAGTCTAACTTATTGTGTTTTAGAGTACTCATTTGGTTTGAGCTCTCTTTATTTATTGGGTTTTATTGTGCTCAAATTGCTTCATTTACTCGAATAGATTAAGTCCAAAGTACTCATTAGGATTCGTTTTTGAACTTAAATAGTTTGTTGCAATGGGTTTCTTCAAATGGTTTGAGTTACCATAGCTTATTGGGTTTTACAGTGTACTGTTTCTTTTACTTAGAAAAAATGGGTTAAGGCAATAAGAAACTGAAATAAATACTTGGCAGAACTTCTCCCATTGTTTAAAGCTGGGGTAAATATTATAAGAAAATTGAAATTGTTTTTGTAAGCAAATTTGCAAGGAAACTGTCAAATTAATTAGAAGAAAATAAATATTTTACAATTGTTTATTTTAAAGAGCAAAATGGGTTTACTGTACAATAACAATTTCTAAAAGTAGTATTACATAAATATTTAAGATATGCAAACAAAATTGTTAACGCTAACCCTAAGTATTTAGTACA